CTGAATTTTCATTTATGTTCCATATATTTAAAATTTTTTTACCAATATGTACTTTTAAATAAATCACTCCGACTAAATAAAATGTGATTTACCTAATTTTATTTTTTAGATCATGACATAAAAATCAATTAGTTTTGTTATATAGTTAAAAATTATGTTAAATAACCCACTCGAATGCGCGGGTATTCACCTAATAATATATAAAGAGTCTGCAAAAACATGAAAGACTAGCATATTTAAATCCAAGTCTACTAATAAGTTCGAAAGATTTTAGGACAGTTTATCAAAATAACGATGAGTCAGCCAAAACAATAGCATACTACCACATTTAGATCCAAGTTTGAGTCTACTAATTCTACGCAGAGTTTGCCAAATCAATGGCATCGTAGCAAACTGATACTTACGTCTGCTTGGCAAATTTAGTAGACTTTTATAACGTCTGCCAAAATTATGCAATGTCTACCACGCTAAAAAAATGGCAGATTTAGATTCAAGTCTACCATTAAGTTTGGAAGACTTTTACAGAGACTACCAAAAATAGATAGAGTTTGCCAAAATCAATGGCACACTAGTGGACTGATACTAAAGTCTACTAGTATGTTAGCACACTTTCAAGGCGTCTGCCAAAAAAATATTAGATTTAGATTTAAGTCTACCATTTTGTTTGGAAGATTTTCACATAGTTTGCTAAATATACGTAGAGTGTGCCATTAAGTTTCGAAGACTTACACATAGTCTACCAAATCAATTTTACACCACCAGACTGATTCTTAAGTATACTAATACGATTAGCATACTTTGAAGATGTCTGCCAAAATATTTCAAAATCTGCCATTCATATCCAAAATAATAGCAGACTAGCATATTCAAATTTTAGTCTGTTATTAAGTTTAGAAGACATTAACAGAGTCTACCAATTATATGCAGAGTCTGCCAAATCAGTAGTGTTGAAATAGTTTTTTTTTTAATTAAAAAAAATCAACCTTCCTTAATTTATTTTTTCATATATTTTTTTTTAAACAATTTTCTTTCCTTTTCTAATTAAATGGCGATGATTTCTGATTTTATTGATTTTAATTTTATTTTTTAAGAAAATTATCTCTCATATTTAGGTTATAATTAAAGTAAATAAATAATGTTCCTAGGGGTAATCTAGAAAAACATTTTTAGATAGTTTTTTAAAGTTTTGTTAGATTATTTTGGTAATTTCAATATTTTATGGGCTATTACAGTCAATCTCCCATATTAGTATTATAATAATGGTTAAATGTAGGTTAGTGGAAGTAATTAACGTAATATCTATTCATAACATTTCCCTTGATTATCCATTTGTATTGATGTTTTGTCATGTGCGTTTTTGTCAAAACTTTCTCATATAAAAATTCCTTTACGATTAAAACTATTAAGAAAAAAGAGTGACAAACATGGATATGCTCTTCTATAGAGGACACAATCTTCCCATCGCATGTA